GTGCACATCCATGTGTGCAGGGAGGAGGCAGCGTGTGGGGCTAGACCTGGATGGAGCCCTGGGCATGGTGGGAGCTGGTGTTCCATGATCATCGGTGGCTGTGACAGAGCAGCCTGGACACTACCTGGTTGTTCTCAACACTTGCTGAGCAAATGAGTTCCCGTTCTCAGGGGAAGGAAAATCAGTGACGTAGCTGGAAGAAAACCATAGTAAAGGTGGAGTATGTCTTGTCTGCTCCCTGTGCTGGTACCTGACGTGAAATCTCACCAGGACATATGTGCTGCCAGCTTTGCAGTTTGATTGCTTAAGTATACTCTGGGTGATCCTCACGAGTGGGTGCAGCATCACTGGAGATCACATCAGAGCTTGATCCAGCCCAGGCTCCTGTTGCTGGCAGCAGAAACCTTCCTGGAGCAAGGACACTGTGTTTAGTAGTCACTGATACAACTACCTAGTAACTCCTTTGTGGAAGCACTTACTCTCCCGGCCTTTGGGAGCTGCACAGCGGAGTTAGGGGCTGGAGGACACCTTCATCTAGGTGAGGGCCGAGTGACCTCCATGGGATGCTGACTCAGCATGGACTTGTCCCATCAGCCAGACCATCACTAAGCCCACATGGGATTCCCCATAGCACCGTGGCTGAACCACCTCTGTAACTTCTGAGATGGAAAATCATTACATACCTTCCTTCTGCCCCACCAGGGTGGAACGTGGAACCTGTACAAGCCAGGCAGTGGGGTCTGTGTTCTTCTTGAAGGGCTTTTTGGTTGGGGAATGAAATTCAGGGCTGTAACCAAGCTGAAGGGAGCTGTTTCTGCTTGCTGTAACAGCACAGAAGGCTTAGGAGACCGTGGGCTGCCTGGGGTTGTGTTGGGTGATGGTGACGGGGTGGATTTGCTTTTTTAATGTCTTCATTAGCAAGTCTGGCACTAAATGCAGTGATGTTCTGCGAGGTGAATTTGGGTGCTTGAATATCTTGGCCTCAATAGAGGCATAAAAATAGAAACCTGCAGCAGTTCCGTGCTTCTGCTGATCTTCCCTCGGAAGGACGGAGGCTGAATCACTTGCACCCTGCTGTGAAAGCAGCTTGTGTTGCACCCTCCCTGCCCCACAGCCTCCCTCCTGCGGGCTCAGGCCTGGGTTTGGTGGCCTGAGGGTGGTTTCTAACAGGACACTCACTGGTGCAGAGCGTCCTGGCTGGGTCCTGCTCCCTTGGGCTGCTCCGGTGGCTCAGTGCTGGGAGGTGTTTGTCCAGTGCTCTCAGGACAAGGGGCAGGACAGCACCATTGCCCTGAGCAATTCCCGTGGAGGAAGGGGAAACACTTGGGTGATCTCCACACAACCTTGTCAGCAACTTCCAGCATCTTCCTAAAGGTTGAAAACTGCCACGAGAGGGCAGGAGCTGGTGCTGACAAGGTTGCAAGGAAGATTCCCAAGTTTTTGGTGGAAAGGGCTGTAAATACCCCTTCCTAAAGATGTAGGCCAGGTTGGACAGAGCCTTGGGTGGCATGGTCTAGTGTGAGGTGTCCCTGCCCAGGCAGGGGGTTGGAACTGGATGATGTTAAGGTCCTTTCCAACCTGTTCTACAATTCTATATATCCAAATGATTTTCCTTTTCCTGGAAGGTTTGATTCCCAAACTGCTGTTTGATCCGTGTCCTTGGCTGTCTCCCAGAGTGGCTCCCATGGTGGCAGCAGAACTTTCCCATGAGGGGAGCAGGCAGCTCTTCCCAAAGCTCCTCCAGAGCAGGAGAGCAGAGGGGAGGGCTCCTGCCAGGTCCCCAGCTTCATCTCACTCTGTTTGATGGCCTTGAAGCCTCATCCTGTGTCAGACACATGTTCTGGGTAAAGACTTTTCCCCTCCCATTTGAATTAGGAGGTTAATGGGCAATTTCACTGTCTCAGAGAGAGTGAAGCATAAGAGAACAGGAGCTACAGCACCAGCTGAGAGCCCACCCCACTGCCTGTGCCCCGAGGGGTTGGGAACTTCAGGTCTGAACCCAAGGGAGGATCATTAACTGGTGATGAGCAGCTGCCTGGAGAGTGGGTGAGAGGAAATTGCTTTGAGCCTCTGCTATAGCAGGGCTGGGATTTGGCTGTTCTTGGAGCATGGGCTCTTTCAACCTTCAGCACTAACTGCAACCAACACTTATAGGTCATAAATCCCTCCCTTATTAATGTCCTCCTCTTGGCAGCACCGGGTTGTATCTTTATTCCTCTGTCATGAGAGCAGAGGTTCTCTGCGGGGTGAAACGCTGCAGATGCTCCACCACCCCTCAGTTGCGAAGACTTAAACCAGAGAGAGTCTTCCAGCAGATGATGAAGGCAGCAGCAAGGCTGTGTCAGGGAGAAGAGAATGTTTATGGGAGAGATCAACAGTTGCCTCTTGGAACAAAGGAGCGGCGCCGAACACGGGAAACACTGAAGACATCACCCCTACACGTGCCCTTGGGTAAGGAGCAAACTGAGAAGCTCCTGCAGCAAAGTGGGAAGGCCTTGAAGAAGGTACGTGGGGTTCTTAACATGCTGGAGACACTGAGGAGTCAAATACCCCAATCAAACCCAGAGGCAATAGGCCAAAATGCCCCAATAATGCGGGTAGAGGTGTGGGAGCTGCTCAGTCCCGTTTCTTAAGCACTGTTTAATGGCGTTTGGGATTTAAGGTTTTTAAACTCTTGCTTTTCACTGCTTTAACCTTTCTTCTGAGGGTCGCTGCAGAGTGATGGGGGTTGTGCAGACACACGTGTGGGTTTTATCAGCCCCAGTGGGGTTAGCACCCAGTTTGGCACAGGAGCCATGCAGGAGATCGGTCACAGCAGGACACCACAAAGCTGCATGTGGATAAGTTCACTGCGCCCCTGTGGGCACAAGGTTTGGGCCTTATCTGGGTTTAACGTGTTTCTTGTGAGCAGAATCTGTGTTGTGCAGTTTGGCTCTAATTGGAATGGGGGCAGGTAACTGTGCTCGAGGGAAACAAACTATTTGAGCAGTAGCAGGTTGGATGTTTGCCTTTCAAGTCTTTCAAACACGGATATTTATCCCGCTACTGCGGAGAACCGCTTCCCAAATGCTTTTGAAAAGGAAACAAAATTCCTTGCATCTGCTCCCAGCCAACAGGAAATACTTATTAGTTTGGATTCCAGCATGACTCAGTTCAGAGATTACAGCAGTTGCCAAAACAACTGGTGGAGGAGCTTACTGGAAGTGGAAAATCAACAAAAACAAGCGGGAAGAAAGTAAAGAGCCGAAAAATCATCCGTGAACATGTTGGGAAAGTATTTATAAATAGTCTAAAAGATGCTACTAATGCTCACAGCAAAATTACAGTGATCACATCATCTTTCCAGAGCTTGTATTTATTCAATATATATTGAATACATTATTCACTCAGCTATGAAATAATACCTCTCTCTTAAGTACATTTGACAGTGTCCTGGCTCTGCAGTTCTATGCTGTGTGTTATTACTTGTAGTTTACAGCCCCAAGGCCTTGGTTGTTCCCTTACAGGGTAGTATCATGTTAAGTCATTCTCACAGCCACCTTTTGGTGTTTGCAGTCAAACACAAGAGGTTACATACCCAAATTGAAATAGGAAAATGAGTAAGGAACGAGTCATTTCACTGTAGCATCCACTTGGTTTTGTCCCTGTAAGAACAGCAGATCTTGGGTGACTGAGGACTTAGAAAGGTCCCGGCACAAACAGGTAACAAAACTTAGCAGGGGAAAGACAAATACATTGAGACAATTGGGTTTATTCAGCCCAAAAGAAGAGCTCTAACATCACCTCTGAGGAGCAGCTCTTCAGACCCAGGTGGCTCTGTGCCCTCCTGCTGCAGCACTGGAGCTCCTGTCACATGCTAACATCAACCAACAGGGTCCTGGGCCTGCTCTGAGGTTATGCCAAGGGAGGGAAGCCTGAGTACAGCACTCGGGCATGACTGTTCCTGTGTTTACTGCCCTTCTTCTGGTAACAAACCAGCTAAGGGAAGCCATGGTATGTTACCTGGGTTAGGTGATGGCTGAAGAACCTACTGAAGGGAGAAGGTCCTTTTTGCTGCTTCCTCGCCCTTCCTGTGCAGCACGATGCATCTGGTACCCAACTTGGAGCTAAATCTTGCTCATGACCACGCACAACTCAACTTCCTTTGTGAAGCCTTCTCTAAAGCTTCTTCTTTAATCAATATCTGCACTTAAAATGCAATTTGTCCTACCAGAAGTTAGGATACATTCAACACCGTGGGCTCTTTAATGCCTCCAAAAGAAAACTGCTGCCCTTTTCTCTTCCCTTGATGCAGGAATAAAGCCTGGAACTGGAAGAGGCATCATCTTGCTCTAGATGCAAAAGCACAGGTTGCTCCACTGACAAACGTGGGAAAGGTTTGTGTCTGCAGTGCAGGAGCTGTTTGAAGTAGTTGCACAAACTCTAAAGGTCTATGTGGGATTATAAAGGAAACTGCTGCTGCTTCTGCAGAGGGAAGCACAAGGCAGAGAGGAGCCTGTGTGCATCTCACTGGAACACTTCCACGTCCCCTCCCTTTTTGGAAGGTGCAGCAATTTCCATTTCCCTTTTCTACCACAAAAAGCATTAGTAAAAAGCCCTGGGTCTGCAATTTTAAACAGGAAAAACTGCTACATCTCTAAACTTTCCTATTCTTTCAGTATATAAAATGTGTACAAAAGGTTGCTAAAAAGTATTTTTACTGGTCTTATTTTGAGCTGGTCTGATATTACATATAAAAAGGCTAAACTGTAGCTGGTGACATTCATTTGCACACCACTTCAATCTGTATCCTACTGAAAGGATTATATTAATTGTGCCAAGGCCTCACAGGCTTCTGTTTCTTTTTGAATAATGAAATTATTCCTAATAATGAAGACATTTTTATGTCTCTAATGAAATTGTCTCAGTTTAAGCAGATGCTCATTTCATTTTGCCACAAAAAGCCACCCCCCCAAAGCACTGAACTTCTCTGTGAGCCTCTGAACCCCTCAGGCCCCAGTTCAGAACATATGAATCCCTTCTGTCAGGGGCCCCAGGGAAGGGTCCTGCATGTCGCTCGGGCTCACGCTGTAGCCCAACTTCTGCATGTCCTTGGTCACTACATTGAAGGAGATGGTCACAAAGCCTTGAGAGCGCACCCTGGTCACTGGAAGAAAAGAAGAGGTGAATAGAACTGGTCAGGAGAGGGTTCTGGATAGTTGGTGAATTCCCATATCCCAGTAGGACTGTTCCCAACAGGAACAACCAGTCTTTATCACCACAAGGGGACGGCCAAGCTGTGACCTGCTGTTGTGAAAGGGCTGCAGTCAGGAGCTCTCAGGGACTTACCTTCTCTTCCTTCTCCCTGTGCTACCACTCTGGGGTCAGTAAATTCCGGACGTCTCCCTGTGAACCAACTTGAGGAAAGAGAATAGAAACTTCACTGGGGTTCAGGTTTGACACAGTCCATTAAATGCACATTAAAAACACAACGGGGGGTTAAGGAGACTCCCAGCTTTTGTCTGCAGTAGAGTTTTGAAGAGTGACTCCCTTTAGTGCTGATCAACTTCTATCAAAGGTAAGTTTTGTCTCTCAAAGGAAAGAAATGAATCCAACTTCATACACATCTTAAATCCAAGTTATTTTTGGGCTAGATGGAATCTTCCTATGGCAAAGATGGTTTTGAGACTGATTCAACTCTAAGTAGCATCTCTGCAAGTCGGAGCACTGATGTGAATCAACCCATGGGACATGGAGCTGCTACTGAGTGCAAGAGCTCACGTAGCAGCCTGCTCTGCTGACACGAGCTCTTCTAAACCAGCAGTGGTCAAATGTGAGATAAAGAAAGGAGTCAGCATTACTGCAAGGAGGAAGCTAACCTGGTTTAGGAAAGCTCTTCAAAGACTTAGGCACCTGAAAGCATGGTCTGACCTACAAAACTCTCTGGTTAAGATCCAAATGGGCATCCATGTGTATGCTCCAGTGAGTAGCTGGGTAAACCCTTATGACCAAGAACAAAAAGGAGTTAAAACCAAGAAGTCTTTAATTATTACCTTGTAAACTGCTGCAGCCTGGATGTGGACTCTGGAACAAACATAGGGATGGTTCTTGTATGCCTGAAACAAGCATGAGACACACAGAACTGAAGAGATGAAGCAAACAGCGCTGGCAAGACTTCTGTTTATAAAGGTGCTGGACTTTCAGACTCATCAGACAACTGAACATCTCCCTTGCACAGAGAGAAGGTTGGTTTGTAGAGGAAGAGTGTATCTCTGGGAATGAAAGCTTAGCACGTGCTGAGCATGCTGCTGGAGATGTACTGCACTTCATACTTGGGTTTTCCACATCCCAGCTTTGGCTTTCCAGTTGTCTGCAGGATTACTAGAGATTATTTGATATCCTGCTAGAAATTCCATGTTCTTTGTGCCGAACAGACAAGACAGGATAAGGAGATACAGGAATGCTTATGAAACAAGTAGCAGCTAAGGACAAAACCTCTTTGTTTCTGTCCTTAAAGCCAGGTTGTCACCTCACCTTCCGGGGGTGAAGGGGACGTGAACAGCTCCATAACCCCTGACCACGTCATGGCCAAAGAAGTCGAGCCCGTAGACACTCACGACGATCTGTGGCCCTGCAAAGGAAGTGAGTGTGAGGGGGGAGCTCGCAGAAGGAGCTGCCCCCCCCCCCCAGCACTCACAGCCTGACGGGTTGGTGCTCTTGAAGGTGATGTCGATGGGGAAGTTCCAGACGAGGGTGGTGGGGGAGACGTCGCTCGTGGAGGTGATCTGGGAGATGCCTTCCTCCAGGCCCTGTGGGGAGCACGTCAAAGGAGGTGATTGTACCCCTCTGCTCTGCTCCTGTGAGGCCCCACGTGCAGGTCTGGTGTCTTTAATGTAAGAAGGACATGGGGCTGTTGGAGCAAGT